GGAGTTAATACTAATGCTTAGGGTAAAAAGAACAAGTACACAAAATATCAATTCTTAAAACTTAAATATAAGGGTATTTCTAAATGAGCCAAAAGCGTAAATAGCACATAAAACATCATCATAAGCAAAGTCTTTTGGGAGTTCTAATTTATGTTGTTGTTTTGAAACCAAGCCTAATTACGTCACTGTTACCAGCTGTATCACACCTTACGTCACTGCTAACTAGTGAAGTAATGCATCAATTAGTTCTCACGATTTACAAGACCACCCTAGTAACGTCATTGTAAACAGCTGTCCCACTATATCATTTACTTAACCCCATTTACTAATCATCCTTAGCTTTGCCACTGATTCACTATCCTGTGCCAACCATCTTAGATACGCCCATACATCTCCTTCCTGTACCATCTTAGATACGCCACTACATCGCCTTCTTGTATCATCTTAGATACGCCACTACATCACCTCCCCGTACCAATCTTCATAGATACGCCACTACATCTCCTTCTTGTATCATCTTAGATATGCCGTTGCATCACCTTTTGTATCCTCTTAGATACGCCACTTCATTACCTTCCTTTACCAACTTAGATACGCCACTACATCATCCCCCACTCACTGTACCACCTTAGATACGCCACTAAATCAACCCCCCCTCCCTGTACCACCTCATATACGCCCCTACATAACCTCCCTTACCACCTTACATGCGCCACTACATCACCTCCCTGTACCAACCACCTTACATACGTTACAACATCACCTCGCTAAACCACTTTAGATACGCCACTACATCACCTCCCTTGCAACCTTAGATACGCCACTACAAAACCCCCTGTACCAACCACCTCATATACGCCCCTACATCACCTTCCTGTACAATCACTACATCATCTCCCTGTACGCCAGTACATCGCCCCCCACCTACCATCTTAGATACGCCACTACATCACCTCCTTGTACCTTCTAAGATACACCCCTACATCACCCCCAGTACCAACCACCTCATATACGCCCCTACATCACCTTCCTGCACCCCTAACGAACTACCGTTACAACCACCCCTCGTTATCTCTCCATGTTACCTGTCAACTCAATCCCCCACTAAACCTTGAGTCGCCTGCAGACATTTTCCCATCCTGACAAGCCACACAGGCATACCAGATAAATTACAAAAACACACTGCAAGAGTCAGAGGTGTGTCATAAATGCGGTATCCTCAATAAAATCACAGCTGTTGATTTTTTTTTATATGTGTACATTCTAATAAATATTATTTACAAACAGACTTATGCCTGTAAAATGTAATAAATTTAGCTTACGGCCTTTGATTACAAAAGAGGCGCGTTATCTAAATTAGAAAGGAAAACATTGTATAATTTTTTCTAAAAATAAGATAGAAGGCGAATAATTAAAACTAATCAATTTATATGGCATTTCTATTTACAATACAATCACCAAATGGTAAATAACTAAACCGAATTCCTAGAATATTGATGTGTCCACACTGCCATTTTGTGTTCCTGTTTCTGATTTTCTAAAAACCCTTTCTACGCCCCTGGACAACGCAGAGGCGTAGCGACTCCTCCCGGCGCCCCTCCCCCCATATATTTTTAATATTTTTTTAATATTTATAATTCAAAACTACAGCTAAAATGAGCTTTTACATTTTTTTTTGCAACCCATTTTACACTTTGGCGCCCCTAGGGTCGGCGCCCGGTTAGCGCCTAAGTTTAAAATACATCCGTAAACGGGTATTTTTGTTAAACATTAACGACGATATATCTATAATTTTATTATTTAATTATCTTCCAAATTAGTGCCAGTAAAGTATTCTACGTTATTTCTAATCTTTCCTGAGATACAAACACAACAAAGGCTAACTAAAAATTATCTCCCTGTATTTACTTTTTAGGTTTAACTGATAAAGACAGACACAAATGTATTTTCTCCTCATACTTGTATATGACATTAACAACAAGTCTACGAGAACACGGGAAACAGCATGTCAGCGTTATATCTGAGACTGCTTTCAAATTATGCCGCCATCTTCAATTAACCAACTTCTGTTTAAAGTCGACATGGGAAGATAACCCGGTTCCTTTAACTGCCTTCCTGTGGTGAGCTATATATATATATATAGATACATACTTAGGCATATATATATATATATATATATATATATATATATATATATATATATATATATATATATATATATATATATATGTATGTGTGTGTATGTGTTAGGGAATACGTCTTCCTTTAGCCAGTATTAGGCCTATAGAGTTACTCCTATATAATACACAACGACACAATATACTTTTTCATACTTGATTTTGTACTACCCGCGAGACAGACCAACTCCGCCATATTTAGCCAACTGCGATAACTCTGACCAATTCCTATCGCTTGTTCAGCTGACTGTCACACGTGACCAGTAGTATCGTATTTCATTGGTTCCTACCTATTCTCATCTTCTAGCTATACCACTTTACTCTGCTACTACCTAAAGCGTCAGCTTGTTTTCTTGCAATTTCCCAATTTCAACATTTTCCCCTTTCTGTTTCACCTATATCTAATCTTGCATAACTTTACTGCGTCATCACTCTTCCCTTTATTTGTGAATAAATATGGGAAAATAATGTTAACTTGTTAACTTTTTTGTACGTCAGCTAATTTTCGCGCTAATATTATATTTTGTATAATTATATCCATTTTTTGTTGACTTTAGAAACACTACATTTTTATGTATGCCCTAATTGTTTGGGGCTTTCTGAAGCTATTCAAAGCATCTTTATCAGATTTTTTTCTCTGCATATAGCCAGTGCTTAAATTATTCTTGCGTCGGCCTTGTTGGGCGAGTAAGCTAACAAGACAAGTCCCAGGTTCGAATCTCTAGGCGAACGAGGTTAGTTAGCTGGTAGACAGCAACAACCACATTGGAACTACAAAGGCGAGAGATTATCAACTCAGTTTCCATTTAATAGGGCTGGTAAGTAGGTCACCAACCAGTTCTACGGCTTAATAAAACCTGCATGAGCCATATAACTGGTTGGTGACCTACTTACCAGCCCTATAGCTGATTCCAAAATGTACAGGTAATGCAGTGACTCTTGGGTCCATCAGGTGTATCGAGAGTATGGGGTCTAGCATATGGACAGCATATCTGTAGCAGGTTATTTACAAGCCAATATAAAAAAAAAATCTTTATCAGATTAAAACACCTTCGGAAAAAAGAATGTTGTTTGAAACTTTCCAACTCATTTTACAACTTTCAAATTTAATTAAGCAGAGAGATTTTTTATCCTGACTTTTACCTGCAGAAGATCTGAAGCTTAATTATAACAAGTGCTGAAAAAGTTAGTTTTCTCTTAAACGAATGTGATATGTATCATTGTCTGAAAAATATGCAAGCCATAAACCATAGCTTAGCCCTTTAACTCTTACATACCTACACTATGATTAACCCTTTAACTCACACATACCTACAGTATGATTCAACCACTAGTACATATTTATGTACAGTATGATTCACCTATTTAGTAGCCCATACATATATACAGCATTATATATATATACGAGAAAAATGGCCCGTTGAGGAAGGATACACCGGGCGCTAGGCTGATAGTGCTGTCTCTTTTCTCTAAACTAACCCCCCCCCCCCACACCCACACACACCCACACACACCACCCCCACCCAAACACACACCACCCCCACCCCCCCCACACCCCCCACAAAACATGTATACCGTCCCATTCAACGAAATATAATTATATACTTTTTCCAGTGTCCTCACCTCCCCGAAAATTCTACCCCCGCCCCCGAAAATTTCAAGTACCCCCACCCCTCTCCGGGGAGGAAAAAGTCTAAACTAAAACCACCCCACCCCCACACACACCACCCCCCACCCCCCACACACACCACCCCCACCACACACACACACACAACCCCCCCACCCCCCCACCCCCCCCCCCCCCCAAAAAAAACATGTCTACCGTCCCATTCAACGAAATATAATTTATATACTTTTTCCAGTGTCCGCCCCCTCCCCGAAAATTCTACCCCCGCCACCAAAAATTTCAAGTACCCCCACCCCTCTCCGGGGAGGAAAAAGTCTAAATTAAAACCACCCCCCCCCCCACACCCCACCCCCCACACCCCTAAAAAAACATGTCTACCGTCCCATTCAACGAAATATAATTATATACTTTTTCCAGTGTCCGCCCCCTCCCCGAGGGGGGGGGGGGGGGGGGGGGGGGGGGCTCAGACGTTCTTACGCGGGGGTGGGGCTTCGCCCCTACCCGAAGAATTGTATGAAAGAAACTCTTCACGCAAACCACTTAGATTAGACCAAATTGCCTTTGTATTGAATGTTTACTCGATAATCAATGACGTCATATAAATATGTGCACTATCCGGCTTGAGATTATTTTCTACTCTGTGCTAAATGAGTCGACGTCATACTTCGTTTTTCGAATTACTATGCATGTTTTTATTTTCCTTGTGTTTTCTCTAGAGCGTTCTTGTCAGACAGATAGATAGATAGATAGATAGATAGATAGATAGATAGATAGATAGATAGATAGATAGATAGATAGATAGATAGATAGATAGATAGATAGATAGATAGATAGATAGATAGATAGATAGATAGATAGACAGACAGCGAAACTATTATATAGATATATATATATATATATATAATATATATGTATATATATATATATATATATATATATATATATATATATATATATATATATATATATATATATATATATATATATATATATATACTTAATTGTTTATAAAAATTATTATAAAATTTAACGCCTAACCAATTACGGTTAATCCCCCACTTCCCCTTCCCCCCCCCCCCCCCCCCCAGTGCACCAGACTTAACTGTCAAGCTAGTTAGGCAGCTGTCTAGATGACAGCCTGACATCATCACTTAACTGTCATGTCTGCAAGGCCTAGGTCTTGATGATAGCCTGACGTCACGACAGTCTAGCTCTGTGGCCAGGTGAGCAACATATTTCTTGTCCACACCGTCGATTCCGTTCAGATCTCTTTCCGGCTCAATTAGTAAGGGGGAGACATCTTTATGGGGGGAGACATCCTTAGGTGTAGGGATCATGTTCCCAGGGGTTCTAAAAATATGGAGATGTCGTCATTAAGTTGGTGATGCACCTAGCGGTTGTTGAAGTATTTAAAAGACGTCGTCATTATATTGGTCATGTACCTCGAGGTTCTAGTGACGTAGGAAAGTCACGATTATATGGGAGATAAATCCAGTACTTATGATCCTAGAGACGCAATCAAGTTAGTTGATGATGAATGTAGTCGTTTTTCTATTCAGACAAGTCCCCATTGACTGTATAATCGTGGTGGTGCTGGTAGTGGTGGTGGTGTTGTTGGTGGTGTTCGTGGTCGAGGCCGTTGTCGTTGTAGTGGTTGTGACGGTGGTTGTGGTAGTGTTGGTGGTGTTGGTGGTCCTGGAAGGGCTTACTACAACAACACAAATGTGTACGACATGCACAAGCCAAACATATTTTGTCACATCAACAACATTATGGTGGTGTGGATAATACACCGCACATCATATTTAACCCGTATAACATAACTTTGTGTAGTGGATATGGATATGGAGTACACGGCATCACATTTAACCCGTATAGCATCATCATGTTGTGAATAAGGAAGATACGGCATCATATTTAACCCTGGCTCAATAACAGAAATGTCACGCTCATCCGCCGTTAGCTACACAACAACGTGTATGATATTTCAGACTGGTCGGGTAATTAATTAATTATGACAAAGCTTTATCCAAATACCGATAAAGGTTACTTAAGAAGCAAATATATTTTCCAAGTTCTGTTTACGATGAAAGCAAAAGTTCTTTTTACTTTTAAATAATAATTGTTTCCAATGTTTTTTTTACATGTTAGAAGCACTTTAGCAGAATACTAAATATTATCAGCATCGCTATCTACTGTAGTAAAAATGATATAGTGTAATGTACTCAATGACTTAAAAAAAATGTGTAATGGAAACGGAACAAATATCACGCAGTGAAGACACGGAGTCAGATATTTTATGCTGTTGTCTTCCTGTTCGTTTCTCAACAGTGCAGGGCGATATATCTTAGCACCTGTCTAGTATTATCCAACAGTAGATGTCTAGTCACCTGTCTAGCACTGTTACATAGTCGAATTCTTATCACCTGTCTAACGCCGTCATTCAGTCAAAGACTGAACAATTTGCTGATTAGATGCACTTTCGTTTTTAACAAGACAGCTTGCTAACAAATAAAGCGAAAAAAAAAATATTTTCGTAAATTGATTGTGGTATGTTATAATTAAACATGTTATAATTTTAAAATAAACAAATGTGTTATGCCTTTGCTATGCTATAATAATAATAGACTGAAAAATACAAGTAGAAAATGTGTTTATCTTTTTTTTAAATAACAAAATGTAGTTAAGGGAAATATTTTAACTATTGTTTTTCTTCCTATTCCTCTTCGTTCTTAATTCTAGTCTAGTGTTGGAAGGGATTCTCTCCAACACAATTAAGTATTACCTGTCAACTTTTTAAACGCCATTTAGGCCGTTGAATCAGACTTGCTTCAAAACCAAGAACAAACTGCAAAGCAGTAGTTGTTTTATTTTGGAGTTGTCTCTGCTTTCGATTCAGCTATCAACTTAACCTACCCGACCACGCCGACCTCCAAGTATATGTTGGAAATAGCTTATTACGCTGTATGGATATGTTGTGCAATTTATTTCAAAAGCAGAAACATTTCATCGTAAAATATATGCATACGTACAGGCAAGCACAACATACAAACACACACGTACACACAAGCACACACACACACACATATATATATATATATATATATATATATATATATATATATATATATATATATATATATATATATATACACATGTATATATACATGTATATTTACATACATGTGTATATATATATATATATATATATATATATATATATATATATATATATATATATATATATATATATATATATATATAATTATATACATGAACAGTAGCGTAGCCAGGGTCGTCTCATGGGGGTGGGCTCAAATATTTTCCAGTTATATATATATATATATATATATATATATATATATATATATATATATATATATATATATATATATATATATATATATATATATACATTTATCCTCGTATACATTTTCAGTGCCAACACATATCAGTTTCTTATCTCTCCTCAGACAATTAGCACAACAAACTTTATCACCTCATAAACTCGGTGCTAATACATAAAGTTATGCTAGTGCAAGACGGTGTTATTATCCAACTTATTATTGACTTATCTACTCATTTAACCCGGTCTAAAACTTAAAACATGTTCGTCAGTGCATGACGCGAGCAGGTTTAGCATGTTGGTGTTGTAGACATTTTTTATTAAACTAAATTAGTAACAAATCTCTTCCCTTCCCATGTAGCTTTAAGCCAAGTGCCATCACCTTGATCCAGGCTCTTACTTCATTTTTTAAGCCTTGTGATAATTCTTCAGGTATTTAATTTAATGTTTCTTTAATCATAATGTTTACATCCTATGCTTGTTATATGGATAGGGGAATGTCAAATATAAACGGGAAATCCCGGATATGTCTAGGAATAAGTGTTTGAAATGACACGAAAGTCTTATACTGATTGCGTAGAGGCCTTGAAATATTAGGGAAAGTGGTGTGTTGAATATCTATTTCCTGTGTAGTTAAAAAGTTAAATCGGGGGTATTTTAGTGTAAATAGTTAGTTTTAACAGCCGGCGCGGTAATGGAAACCCAATATTTTATTGACAATTTTAAAACTACAACTTCACAAGTGTTTCTTCCAGACTTATTTCGGGGGGGGGGGGGGGGGGAAGGACGTTAGACTTTCTTCGGGGGGGGGGGGGGCGGACACTGTTAAAAGCATATATTTTCTATATAAATTATATAAATTTCATTTCGTTGGGGGGGGGGGGGCGGTTGAATTTTTTCGGGGGGGGGGGGGGGGCGAAGATGCCTGGAAGAAACTCTGAACTTTACAAGTGTTGCAAGAAGATTTATAGATATCAAAAAAGTTTACTTTGTGATGTATGGTAATATTGCTGAATATATAGTTGAAACTCATCATACAACTATGTGTGGAAACTCCATTATCGTTTTTCAAAGAAGTTACATTTCGAATACGCTCGCTTCCTTACAAGGCAGATGAAGTAGAATGTATCTGTTTCTTTTGACTTGGAACTTCAACGGTCATGTAATGAATATTATGACAATAGTCCCAAAAAATGTTCACAATCAACGAATGACAAAAATCAGAAGCTAAAATAGAATGTGTACATTAGCCTTTGCTGACAAACATCTAGAAGAGGGGATTGTTTATTTTTATTTTATGTTTTTAGATATTTTTTTTTCAGTTCAGTTAGATATTCATCACAATTCTTAATAGGTCTACATACATACATACACACACACCAATATATATATATATATATATATATATATATATATATATATATATATATATATATATATATATATATATATATATATATATATATATATATATATATATATATATATATATATATATATATATATGTGTGTGTGTGTGTGTGTGTGTGTGTGTGTATGTGTACGTTTTTGTAAGTGTGTGTGGGTGTGAGTGGTGCGAGTGAGTGTGTTTTTTGTGTGTGAGTACTTGTGAGTGAGTGTGTCCGTTTGCATTCGTGTGCACAGTGCATTAAAAATTCTAAAATTCTAATGTCCCCTGTATTTTAATTAGCCACCTTGGGTGGTCTCTGCATAATGAGACATATCGATTAACACACGACCACCAGGTGCACCTGCCAGTCACAACCCCACCAGCGGCGTCGGCAGGGGGGTGGGTTAGAGGGGGTGCCGATGGACCCCCCCCAAAACAAGAATTGTTTTACGTTTAATATACAGCTATTGGCGGCGGTGTACTTGTGTCGCTATCATTTAGTACTTAAACATCAAACACTATAGGTCTCAGCCTCTACAATAACAAAGTATAACCTACTATTATGAAGAGAATGTTGGCTGTAGCTTATAGTTACGATTACTAACATCGAGGGAAATTAATTTACAATTATCTGGAACATAGTAGGTCTAGGGAAAGCTGACCATGGTTAGATCAGTCAAGGGGACTAGCCAAGACAAAATTGTGAACCTCTCCTTCTCATGAGACGATCCTTGCTACGCCACTGCACCACCCCATCCCACACCACACACTACCCCCACAGTTTAAGGGTGAGCTTTAGGGCCGTATCACGTGATACCCTCCTGAATATATTAACCAGGTTGTTTTTTATATGTCTGAACCACACAAAAGCCCTTGGGTCGTCACAAGCGTTGCCTCTGACACCTACTCGAGCAAGGGGTTTGGTATTGATTGGCATGGGCATTAACGAGAGATATGACGTAATGGAGCTTGGGGGGGGGGGGGGGGGTGGGCGGAGTTGATGATGGGGGGGGGGGGTGTTGGCTCAGAAACAAAGAGATGGGTATTGGGTAAGAGACAAGAGGGGTGTTATTGATTGCCACGGTCCTTAACAAGATAGTGGGGGGGGTGCGAATTTCAGTATTGAGAGGGAGGGGGGTGTCAGGGTCGAGAGGGGGTGTTATTGTTATGATTCTGTAATGGGCCTTAGCAAGAGAAGCGAGACACGCGACCCACACCCCACAAAAAAAAACACCCAAAAGTGTCACCCCTTCCCCAATACCTCTGTCCCACTCTAAACTTTATAGGACCTAGTTAGCGTTTTGACTGAATATATATTAAATCAAATCTGATACAAATTTATAATAAATTAATAAATTTTGAAAAGTATCAAGCAATTAAGTGAGCCTTATAAGTTTATATGACGTAACTGAATACGTATATATATATTACGTCGATAGTCAATTAGTAGATAAAGAAAAGAAAGCTTGAAAGGCATGGTCGAGTGTTACAACATATAACTGTTAAGCCGAAAGTCTAGGGTTCGCTTTCCTTACTGGAAATAAAACGCTTACCACACAAACATATCTAAAGTCAAGAACATGAAACACATGAACTCTACT